TAATACATCCTTGAGATGACAGAGTGGGACAGATGCTGTGACTAAGGAGCAGCTTTTCTCTGCGTGGTCAACCAGCTACTAAAATAGAACCTTGCCTCTTTAACACAAGCCTTTAACTGGCTGACTACCCAGATCCCACGTTCAGGGTTAACGGCATGCCTTGGGGATCTCTAATGCTAATATCCACCCAGGGAGAGAAAAAATAAGCCAATGGTGAGGATGCCCTCACAATGTGCACTTAATTAAGGTTGTTCTCATTCAGGAGTGGGCACTGCTGTCTCGGAGTCTAGTTGCTTGGCATTTATTTACCAGCATTTAGCTGCCAATTCCCAAGGGCCCAAGAGGTTCAGGCCCTGGCACAAGCCTGACACACACTGTCAAGGAAACCGAAGGTTTGATTTGTAAATCAGAATGTCAATGTCTTACAGGGAGAATTGACACTTGCTAAAGGACTAAATTCCTTGCCACTCAATCTGCCCACTCTTGTCGGAGAAGGAAGGCCAATGCAGAGCTTAGCAGGAACTGCAGTTGCTTAATTGCTGTATTTGAATTGCTAGATCTGAACAAGAAATGGAACTCAGATTAGAATATTATTATAGGGCTTTGGGGGGAGTGGGGAGGGGATAGATCACTTAGGGTAGCAATAGCGGCTGAATGAACAAAGGGGCATTTATGGAAAGGCCATCAGGGACTCTCAGAATTGACAGCAACCTGGAGATGCAGGCTGGGATACGGCAGGGGGGTAGCAATGATAACCACCGGACACTGTGCACAGATGGAGAGAAGTTCAGCCAGTTCCTGGCTTCCTGGCATTCCACTGGATCTAGTTTTAAAAATTTCATCAGGCTTTCAGAATTTCATTTGGCTCATATCTAGTGGATGGCTAGCCTATCTGCTAAGAGTTGTAAAAACAAAGATAAGACCCTGCATTCAATGACTTAAGAATCTTATATTTCAATCCCTACAATTCATGTTAGACCAAGTTCACGCAGAGGCACACAGTCATTCCGATTCCACAAATGAAGAGAGGCCACGGTGTCCGAAGTTTGGGGAAAGACTTCAAAGGACTGACACTGGAGCTGGGCATTGGACCTGGCAGGATTTTTCAAGGGAAGTTGGAAGCATTTCCAGCTGGGATGTAAATGACAAAAAAAGGGGCCCAGGTGGAAGAATGGAAGGTGAGTCATGCACCTGATAAATCCCCTCCTCCTTTTCTTGAGGTTGGGTCAACAGGGTTTAGCCAAATGAAGGTTTTGCAGGGAGGGACCCCTGTGCTTTGAAGAGGGCTAAGGAAAGGGGGTAGGGGGAGTGAAGAAAGGCCTATGCATTCCACCTCCAAGAGACAAAAAAAAAAAAAAAAAAAAAGAAGAAGAAGAAGAAGAAGAAGAGAGAGAGACCGTGCTTTTTTCTGTCCATTGTTGTAGTATGGGTGTAGGTGACAAACTGGGAAGCCAGGCCATGAAGGTGCCCTCTCTTGATTTCCCAACTCCAGGAAAGGGCTCGTTAGTCCCAACTAGGCTGATGGTTGGGGGGGGAGGGTGGCACAATGCTACTGGCAGCCTCCAAAGGCCCAAAATCTTACATTAAGTGCTATTCACACCAAGACAACTGTCCAGGTGCTGCACAATCCATGCTGTAGCACAGGGTTTTCCCATGAAGGCTCTTGAACATCAGACCCGGCGTGGCAAGGATATAGCATTGGTGACAGTGATACATTGTTCTATTTTTCATTCTTATCAGTATTTATTAACACTGACTGGAGGCTCTGCCCTGAATTAAGACTGGAGGCTGGAGTTGAAAAAGTGACTGATGGACAAGGAAGTCATTCCTTTTCATTGCTTCTGTTTTCTCATCTGTAAAATAAAACAGGGCAGGATTTAATGCCTTTGATTTGCTATCTGTCTTGCACTCAGTGAGCTTACACATAAAATCAGTTTGCCCTTGTGTGGGTGGGACGGGAGGTGTCAGGGGCTGAAGGGAAAAAGAGGAGAGTTTTGGCTTATGCCTTGCCACCTTGGAAGGAGGGGCCCGCTGTAAGGCACCTGGGATGCAGCAGTTCTGTGCAAACTAGAGGTCTGGTATTTGCCAGAAGCTTTGGCATAATGCAAGGAGAAGTAGTGCATAAATGATGTGATGGAATTATTGCTGACCATGAATTTCCTGTCCAATTAGTGAGGTGCTGTAGGGGTTTCATTTAATTGGACCTTTCCCGAGCCATCTAGGTTTATTTACCATTTTACATTGATTTGATCTCAGGGGAGGAGAGGGCAGCGTGTTGAATGATAACAACCTTTTATGAAACAAAGTTCTTCCTTGTTGACCTTTGATTCCCCTTTCCCTGCATTGTGCTTCTGCCTTTCTCTGGAAAGCCTGTCTTGCAGCTTCTTTGCAACCAAAGAGGGCACTCACGTTTGAGATTTTCCAATGTCTGGCGCATTCATCCCTCTGCATTCAAGCCACAGCAAATGTCTGGAATTACTCTTCTGAAAGCTCCTTCCAAGATACCGTCCATATGCATCTTGGTATCTCGCCGTACTCTCCCCCAGTGCCTCCCGCCATGCTGCCTGCTAGTAGGAGGAGCTCAACCAGTTTCTTTCAAAGGTAACATCTCAAAGGTCTTTATAGGCATACACTATGGCTTCAACGGAAATAGTGGATTTACACAAGATCCAGGGGCTACCTGGCAGAATTAACCACAGCTTCAAAAGGATTTAAAGTCCTTTCTGCCAAGGTAGTTCCTTTGATATACAGCAGGAAAAGCTTTCTAAGCTGGTGGATGAAGGGTGGATGAAGGGAAAGAGAGAGCTGTTTTCATTTAATTTGTGTGTTTCAGGTAAGTATCCGGAGCCCTGAGGAGATTCTTCACACCTGCCACAGTTGAAGACCAGAGCTCCGGAGCTCCAGGCCCCTTTGCTTTGGAGAGTGGTTGCTTTCTCTCTCAACAGCTTCGCCAAGGCCCAGTCTTCTGCGAAAATGATCGATTGTTCAGATCAGGGAGCACATAGGAAAGATGAGTTGTAAAATGCTTTTTCTATCATACAAGGAATGAGAAATCATTTTAAAACTTGGGAGGAGACAAAATTTCATTTCTAGTATCTCTGCTCTAGGGCCCTGGTTTTCAGTGGGATCCCCAGAACGGAGGGGAGCCTGTTAGAAACTAGCGAATGGGTAAGTAGGAATGTGGGAATTTGTGCTTTCACAAGTCCTCCAGGGGATTCCGATTCACGCTGAAGTTTGAGAACTGCTCCACCAGCACAACCAGCACAACCATTATTAGCACTTTATGCATTCTTTTCATGAGTGTGTGTGTGTGTGTGCGTGTGTGTGTGTGTGGTGGGGGGCAGGCAGGCTTCACTGAACTGATAGAGCACAAAAGCAGTCATTGTAACAACCCCCACGTTTCTCTTATCTAGAACCCCACCTCCATATGCAGGAAGTACGAACAATTGTAGAATTTCCTAAAGTCGAGGATCTGGGAATCCCTACGGTGGGCCTTATAGGTGTGAGTCAATGTGCTGCCTGAACGGGCCTCAGTAAAGTCACCTTAAATGTTGTCCTGAACTCCGATGGATCAAAAGTCCCACCTCTTTCTTGGCAGGACTTTTGTCTTTTCCTGTCTGATGTCTGTCTGGCATTCTGTTAGAATCTCGTAGGCATCACCAGAGCTTACTCTTCACCCTCTCTAGCTGGTAAGAAATATGCGGGCGAAGCGGCGGGGTATGTATGGTCCCCGTGTGGAGCCACCATCCCCCGCCCCACAATCGTCAGGCTTGGGGTGAGTCTGCTCACTGCTTCTGTGAGACTTCCCAAATTTCAGTTAGGCTTTTTGTAAGAATGAAACAGGCAACTTACTTCATGGACATTTAATGACAAAAAATTAAATATACTTGAGCCATGGAGTCCGGGGTAGCAGGGAGCAGGGTTGTGGAAGTAATGAAAGGTATTGCCAGCACTCCTATTCTGCCGTGGGTTCTCTTATTCATCCGCTTATCCCGGCTTGTCACTCTGCCTTCTCCTCACAGCTTCGGTCCCCGTGTGGGGACAGCGTTCAAGTTACTTCTTTATGGGCTTCTCAGTCTAAGAAAAACCAGAAGTGGCTAATCACCAAGAACACAGAAGCCATGCAGTGCTGCTTTCCTACAAATTAATCTAATTGCATCAGTATTTGGCTTTAGCCTAGCCTGTATACTTTGTTGCTTTTGTAGTACTTTCATGATTTAGTATGTTTTTTTCATACATAATGCTTAGATTGAAAATCCTAAAACCACTATCGTAAGTGAATGCCGAGTTCATATTCCGGCTTTTCCGTATGTGTAATCAGAGGATTAAAATGCTATTTCTGTAGTAAAATTGCACATTCAATTCTATTTACCTGGCCAGCTTTAAGGTTTAAATTTTTTCTTCTTCTTAAATCGTCATCAGGCCAAATAAAATAAAATTATAAAAAATAAATTTAAAGAAAAAAAAAAAAAGAGTGCACGTTGTTGGTTTTCCCTAACGTTGTGGAGGCTTAAGAGATACTGAAACCAGGAACCAGGGCAAAAAATGTTTTCTGTGACCAGCCAAGTGGGTGCAAGGCGAGAGGGAGCAATGATTTATTCATTATCCCAGACAAAACGCCTCCTTTCCAGGCTGCAGAGAGGCCAGGCTCAAAGGGCAGATGAACCAGCTTCAGGCAGTGCCACTGCGGCTACCTGGAAGCCCAGCAAGTCACCTGAGTCGTGCCCATGCCTGGGCTGCCAAGCTGCAGCAACCGGTCCGCAGTCCCCGGGGGCACAAACCACACTGCCGGGGCGAGGGAACGCCCTTGGCGCTCGAAGCCGGCGGCGGGTCCACGCGGGCGCAGCGGAGCCGGACCTCCGCGGTAGGCGCACAGGTAGCGCTTGCCGCAGCACCTGCCCCGCCAACCCCGCGCTCGGGGCGGGGCTTCCCGCGTCCCCTTTAAGAGGCCGCATCACCCGCCCCTGACGTCAGGGTGTCTCTCCGCACGAGCCCGCGTCCCGCGCCGCTCCGCGCCCCCGCGCCCACAGCCCCGGCGGCGGCAAGACAAGCGGCCGCCCGGCGAGCGCGCCGCCCTGCTCGGCCCTCCTGTCCGGCTCCGCCGCCGCCTCTTTCCGACACCCGCAGCCACAGCCGCCCGCCCGTCCCCCCGCACCATGTCGGTGGCCGGGCTCAAGAAGCAATTCCACAAAGCCACTCAGGTAAGGCGCCTGACAGGTGCGCCGCGGGACGGTCCCGGACGGAGCCGCGAGGGGCGCGCTCGCAGCCTCTGGCCGGCGGTGAGCGCGGGGACCCCGGCCTGTGCCCAGCTCGCCGTCGCCGCGCTCCGCGTCGCCCGCCCCGCCCGCCGCGGCGGCGGCGGCGGCCCGGGGCGTCCGGGGGCTGGGAGCCCGCCCTCCGTCCCCCACTCCGGGCTGGGTGAGACGCTGCGGACGCCCGGGAGTCCCTGGCGTCCTGCCTTGCAGCCCCGCGCGCCGCCCCCGCACCGCCCTCGCACCGCCCCGCGCGGGAGCGGCTGGGAGGGGACCGTGACTGCACGGTCGCCCCGGCGTGCAGGTGCCCCAGCGGCGCGGCGGGAGATTATGTAAAGTCGTCTCTTACCCAGTGACCTTGCGGTGTTGGTGCCCCCAGCTGTCCCGGGATGTGTTGGCACGAGCGGTGGCCTGCACTGGGGGTGACTGCGGTGATGTCCGCGGTCTGCGCTCTTCCACTGTGGTTTCTGAATCTCTCCTTCCATGTTGTCCCCAGGCTCCAGAGCAGTGGGAGGATGGGGCATCCTTCTGGGAAGCTCATGCATTAACTTTTCCTTGGAGAACTCGGGGGTGAAACTCCTTTGAGGCCGAAGCTTGACCCTCAGTTCGTGTGTCTTTAAGCATTTCCCATGGGATTTATAGCCTTAACATAAGTCGTCATTTATTTCTAAGTATTATTTTTAGTGAGCCTTTTACAGCCCGAATGTGCCCATATTTCTCTGTGGGGTTAATAAGCTGTTATTACAACTTATTTAATTCAGATTCTAATACTCGAAATCTCCTTGGGCTCTGTTGAAGAATTTTACATAGGGAAAGATAAATGCATACTTATAATGTGACCTATTTCTTATGTAATGAGGATAGTTACTATTTTTTTTTTTTTTTAACCCTTCTGAAACAGTTGTAGTTCAGGGGACATTTAGCTAAGGACTTTGTTGATTTCTTTAAATATTTCTCATCATTTAGCTTTAAATATTTTTTTTTCATAGATTAGTCTTCATTAATAGTGAGTTTTCTCGTAACTTCTCAGAAGTAGTCAGGTGTTCCCCAGGCTACCACAATAACAACCCTATTTTGAACCACATTCTGAAGAGGTGAGGGTTATGTTTTGCAGAACCTTGGATAAGTTAGGGGGACAGATGCAGCATGAAATTTATCTCACGTACATGAACATGTTATCTGTATCACCATAGACTTGCTTTTGTGGAATCAGTTTTATCTGTTAGTTTGGGAGATACAGAAAACTAAGATGATTTCAGGAAAAATAGGCACGAATGTAATTATTTATGCTTTTTCACTTGGGTTTTTCTGAGTCCTCTAGAACAGATGTTTGTAAATATATTTGTAAAAATATTGTTGATGTAATATGGAAGTCCTCTAATAACTTGATAGTTCGAATTCCTTCAGGTTTATAGTATCGGTGCATGTACTTCCATAAATTCTCAGGCAGGACTTCTTTGAAGTCACTGACCTTTTAAATTTCAGGTACCTTTCACTTCTCTAAAGCAGACGTGAGCGCTAAATTTACCAACACCACATCCCTTCTTCACTTTGATTCTGAAGACTTGTTTGCAAATCCTAGTGCCCCAAAAGGCAGTTAGGAACCTTGGCAAAGGTTAAGGCTTGACCCCACCTCTGCTGTCAGTGATCTTGAGCAAGTTACTTAACTTTTGAATGTGTCCTTGCTAAATGGGGTTAATATCCATTTCCTAGAATTGGTGTGAGTTTAAATAAGTTTTAGAACACACATAGAAACTGTTCAATAAATGTTATTAATGTTAAGGATAATTTCACTAGTATAAAATACTGTCCCTTATATTAGTAATAATGACACATGAGGAAATTATGGAAGCTAGACTTTTTAGTTTTGCTACCTTAACAAAACAAATCAGATGGCTACATTTCAGTCAAATCCTGAAGTTGTATATAACAATGAAGTTTAGAATTGAATCTAGAAACTAGAATTGTGGTATGAAAGGACTTCTTAGATTGTTGGAGGAGGTCTGCTTGATTCGTATTTATCACACCTGATTCGAATGCAGAATCACTGAGTCATTTTTTTTTTTTACTGAAAAGCCTTTCATTTTAGAAGTGAAATAACACACAATATCTTATCCATAACTTAATGGAGCATAATCTTAGAAAGTCCCAGGCAAAGGTTATTCTTCCCGTGCATATATGTGTATTTGAAGGGTGTGTAAAGCCAGCCCTAATGTTTGCCTGTGACAGGTATTAGGGGACATAGCCCATAGCCATGTCTATTTTTTTAAGTCATTTTCCCATTCCCAGCTCCATGAACCTGATCTTATCTACAAAGTAAGCTTTGCACCTAGAATTGTTTCCTTTTGAGAACAGATATGCTAGATTATATGTTCTTAAGTGGAAGGCCCCTCTTCAGGTAAACATTTATTTCCGTGAAATTGAGTAGTTTTGCCTACGATAGTGCGGAATGGTATTTGTAATGATAAAGCACTATACCTTTGGTGTTTGCCCACTGATTTGAAATCTCGAGTAAGATGTGTCAGGACTGTTCTCTTGGTTTAGAACTGATTATTTCTACCTTGTTGCTGACAGTTATTTTTAACATCTTTGATATTTGGAGGTGAAAAAATGCTTTTGCTAAGGATAATTTGAGTGGAAAAGTCTTTCAGCTTGAGAATATATGAACAGAGTAAAAATTGATCTTCTTTTTACTTTAATAAACCTTGTTACTTTATTGCTTATAGATATAATTTATTATGCAATTACAATAAATAGGGTACTCTTTTTTACTGTAAAGTAGGGCAAATGAACATGTATTATTCTACTTTTAGTGAGTTTTACTCACATTGAGATTTCATTTTGGCATGAATAATGTCAATTTTTTTCACTTGGTTTAAACTGGCAGCATATCAGTTAAAAATAGCTGTCTGGTTCCAATTAACATGCTGTTTTTATAAAATCAATACCTTTTTTTTTTACTTTATCAAGCATTTATAGTGAACATACCTTGCTTTATATTAACAGAGGAAAGTTTGTTATAGAGTAAAATTTATTAGGTCATTGTGTTAGTTCTTTAGAGCTGCTGTAACAAGGTATCAATTTGACTGCCTTAAACAACAGAAATTTATTGTCTCACTCTTTTGGAGTCTTGATGAAGGTGACAGAAAGGCCATGTTCCCTCTGAAGGCCCTAGGCAGGAGTCTGTGTCAGGCTTCCTTCCTAACTTCTAGTAGTTTGTTGGCAATCTTTGGCTTTTCTTGGTTTCTTTACACATCACACTGATCTCTGTTTTCCCGTTAGCATGGTTTTCTTTCTGTGTCCAAATTTCTTTCCACTTTCTTGAGAACCAGCCATATTGGATTGAAGGCCCACCCTGCACCAGTATGATCTCATCTTAGCTCAAGTAATTACGTTGGCAATGACCCTATTTCCAAATAAGGTTACATTTTGAGGTATTGGGGATTAAGCTTTAAATATATGAAGTGTTTGGAAGCAGGGGGAATATAGTACAACCCATTAATAGCCATTATTTGCATGAAAGGATTCACCAAGGTGTTTTTCTAAATATTGTCTTTAACATTAAAAGGACAATTCAGTCTATAAATAATAACTTTCTTTTGCATTGAATGAGATATGTTTTCTTCCTTTCAATGAGTTTGGGTAGGATATATCCCTATTATAGACTATATATCTTCTATTTTTTCTTTCTTTCAAGATTTATTTATTTTAGAGCTTGCACAAATAGTGGGGGGAGGGGCAGAGGGAGAGAATCTTTAAGCAGACTCCCCACTGACCGAGGAGCCTGACATGGGGCTTAATCCCTCGACCAATCAGATCATGACCTGAGCTGAAACCAAGAGTGGGGCGCTTAACCAGCTGAACCATTCCAGTGCCCCTTTCTGTTTTTTTTTTTTTAATGATATAACTCCTATTTGGTTAGGCTCTGTGTTATGATACAGTCTGGTGCATGATTATTGTCCCACTCAGATTCATCAACTGGAAAATTTTAATTAGATTGGTATTTTAAGCCTTTCTGTTTAATTTTTTCATGCTTTCATCACATTTAAAATGCTGTATTTTATATAGGTGCTTTGCTCTGGAGAATGTTACATAAATCTGTTTATGCATTTATTGATTTGGTGAGACTTTAAACTTGTTAAGATATTTAATTGCATATTTAATATATATTTAATTTTTAATATTTAATATTGTATATCTTATGTTAGTTTTAATATATATTTAATTAAATATATAATTAGCTATAACTTTGTCAGTAGTTCTCAGTGCCTTAACTTCCTGTGTTAAGCAGTAAAGTCTCTGCCGCCTTCAAAATCTCTAGGACTTACTGGTTGACACAGGGTTTCTATACCTGCACTCTTCATCAGGTTCTTAGCCTGGTGCCCATAATGGCCTGCAGAGGGCTATGTATTCTCTAAAATTATATGCCACTTTTTGTATGCGCATTTTTTTCCGAGGGAGAGGGCTTTTAGCCTATCAACAGCTTCTTAAAGGACTTCCTAATTCTTATCCCACCCTTTCCTCCACCAAAGTAAAAATGCTTTGTAATAAATTGACCATGTCATGAAGAGAGAATGGGGGCAGTTCTTACAATAACAGTCACTGCATCCATTCTATTACTGGTCTTTAGAATACCTGTTCAAAATGCAGTCTTCTCTGAACTAATTTGAGGGGCAATCAAATGTAAAAAATCCTTTCCAGAGGATTGAATGAGATAATGTCTGTGAGAGTGCCATGCTTGCATAATAAGGATAACTTGAACCATGTTAAAAAAAAAAAAAAGTAGTCAATGAGCTCTAACTTACTGATACACTTGGCAAATGGACATGTGGTAGGATTTGAAATGAAAGTGGCTGCTGAAAGTAATTTCCCTTGAGAATGAAATTCTTCTTGGTCAAGTTTTTGTTGTTGACACAGTTACATTTTTTTGCAAGCCTTTTCCCCCACAG